TAATTTTTCCAACGGTGTAACCCATTAAGCTAAGACTGTGCCTGGGATCTCATTGCACCATGACAATTTCATCAGCTATTGCCGTTCAATGAGGGCAGACCATGCAGGGAATATTGTTTCAGAGATCTCTTTAGGTTAGTACCCTGATCATAGTGCTCGTATATCTAATGATGCACATGCTTGTTGGGGACCGTTTCCTGTTTTCCTCAAAAAATGAGACACAGGGGAACCAAGTAGAAATGGTGGGACAGGACCCAAAAATCAGGACTGTCCTGACAGATTTGGGATGGTTGTCAGGTTTTGTTGTGTAACTTCCTTTTTTCTGTTATAAAGCTACTCATTATCAAATCGGCAAGGAAAACAGTATTTTATTGGTATTTTTTTTTTTTTTTACCATTTGAAAACATAGTGCTGGTCCCACAGTAGCCTTATATGTCACACACCTATTGATTACTACTAGTTAAAATGTTTGTATGTGTACTCAGGGAGGCTCTCTGGTACAACATTGTTACAAATTTATGAAGTTGCTGTCTTCATTTATAAACCTAAGCAGCTATAGTATATGTGCTTTCCATTTAAGACTATAAAGAATCTTGATAGATAATTCCTTGGAAGTTGCTAAAGAAATTTAAAGCAATTTTAATTCTCAATACATTGTAAACATCCATATTTTACTTTTTACCACCTAGAAGCACTGCTGATTAAAATAAGTGCCTTTTGTGGAATACTCTGTCTGTAAATTTATGCCAGTGCTCACTTGGTTATTCAACAATGTAAAACCTGGGTTGCAGGTTTCCATTGTTCCGAGTTTGATAAAATCAGTATCGCTATCATTTGTATCAAATCTGAAAGGGTAATACCAACACTGATACTTCCTCATTATTACAGCAGTTATCCTAGACTATTGGACCTCGCCCAAAATCGCCCCCCAATATATATATGTTTGTTTCCTACCTGGAATGAATTCTACCTTCAACATAAAGATATGATGATATTGGGTGAAAATTGGCGGTACCAGTAGGAGGCTTCCTCAGATTAAGAAGAGTCATTATATGTGCCTCCATTTATTTAGGAATGATACCAGAATATTTGATATATTTAAACATGGACTCCGTAACTTTGCAAATTTGTTAGTAATCGTAATTTTTGAAGAAGCAATCAGGGCTGGGTGCTTCATGTTTCAGGAGGGTTTTGATGGCTTGCAGTAGCTCTTGTTCTGAAAAAGGTGATTTTAGGGATGCGGCTAGAGGGGTTGAGAGAGTGGACAAGGAGGTTTGTTTCCAATGTAACATGTATAGCTTGGAGGAAAGACGAGACAGGGGGGATATGATAGAAACATTTAAATACATAAAGGGAATCAACACAGTAAAGGAGGAGACTATATTTAAAAGAAGAAAAACTACCACAACAAGAGGATATAGTCTTAAATTAGAGAGACAAAGGTAAAGAAGTATTACTTTACTGAGAGAGTAGTGGATGCATGGAATAGCCTTCCAGCTGAAGTGGTAGAGGTTAACACAGTAAAGGAGTTTAAGCATGCATGGGATAGGCATAAGGCCATCCTAACTATAAGATAAGGCCAGGGACTAATGAAAGTTTTTAGAAAATTGGGCAGACTAGATGGGCCGAATGGTTCTTATCTGCCGTCACATTCTATGTTTCTATGTTTCTATTGGTTGTTTAGTACTGGAATCTTTTGATGAATTGTTTAGAGAAGAGTAAAACACTTCCAACTTGTCCACTATGTGGCAGGAATTAGTTAGCTTCGAACCTACACTCAGATAAACAAAAGGTATTTTAGGTTGTGTATATTTTTGTTTGTTTGGATGCGAGTAGCTTTCCCCCTCTTTGCCCTGAATATAACTATGTTTTAGTTTATTTTAGATGGACCTCTTGTTTGACAGCCACTATTGCCTGTGTATCAGAAAGGGTTTTTTTTATTGCTATACTCTAAGGAGGATAATTTTTCTTTAAAGACTCAGGCAAGACTCAGTCAGTCTTGTTGTGACTGGAATAAATGTGCTTCTACAATAGTGGATGCAAGCATAGGCTGATTAAAAAAAAAGAAGATTCAGGAACCATACCAGCTCATAAAGGTTATTTGACATGGAAATCGTGAAACCTCACACCAGTATCACTAGTATCTGTTGCCATCAGTTTCAAAATAGCTTTTGAGCTCGATCTATCAGAAAGTCACAACAAAGGCAAAATGGCCTGAAGATAGTCTGAGAGGACCCCCATTTCCAACAACTCAGGAATGCCTAAGATCTGGACTATTAAATCTAGCATCCGTGATTTTTAGGAATGCTTTTTTTTTTCTCAATTTTATAAAATTAGTCTGATTTAATTGTTTGCCATGCAAAGATCATCCATTTTATTTTTTCATTTGTCAGTGTGACCTTCTAACTCTCTAATCTCATTATGTATTTCACAAAAGACTGCCTGTATCGTAGAATGCAAGCTCTGTAGCATAACAAGATCTTTCAGAAGCTGGGGACTTTTCAAAAAGCCATGTAGTAGCTCCAAGTCAGAAGCTGTATTAGAAGCTGGTTAAAGGGTAATGAGAGTCCATATCATGGTCACTCCGCTATCTCTCCTCTGTCAGGAATTTGACAGCCTCATGTTTAGGAGGTTTGGCAGGTGACATAATAGTCAGAATAGGCTTCTGGCTTCCTCTAACAGACACATTTTTATTATTATTGGTATTTATATAGTGCCAGCTTATTCCGCAGCGCTTTACAATTAGTAATGCTCTGTTCAGAAGCTTAATTCATGGGCTCATTGTTATGGGCTAATAATGCAGTGGAACTGCACCATGTTGACTCTTAGTTTGGCAGCAAACCCCACACCCCACCTTGCTCTAATATTAACACAGCTGAATAAGTTCAGCAGCAGTCCCAGCAGTATCAGCAAAGCATTTTTTTTATTACATCAAAACATTCTGGATTCAAACTAACCTTAAATAACCTTAAATATTTACATTATTGTCCTGATTGAACCATTTCCCTTTTGTGTCTCATAGCTCGTAAGTCATACTGCTGTCCCTGATCCTGGATGGGTGCAGTTCGACCAGGTGCTCCATAGCTAGTTAAGGTGTGCAGAGCTAGGCTCTACCCCTCAGGTACGTTCCTCCCCCTCAGAATCGGCAGCAGATGGGGCAGGGCTTATTGTGTTGGGTGGGACCTGAGTAGTGTGGGGCCTAGTGCACACCCCACCTACCAGCAGAGCATATGAGAGCACCTGAGCCACCCAGGATTGTCTCTGTCTTGATCAATCAGATCCTCATGCAGATGTACCATTGACTATGAGCTTGTCAATCCTATATTTTTATGTGTATCAGACCTAGTTATATTTCTGACTTTAAGTGTTGTCTTAGTACTGATTCTCTGTATACAAAATCTGGTTACATTACTGACCCTGGATGTAGATCCAAATACAGCTTGCAGTAAAGACTTTCTATTGCTTTTCAGTCACAATCTTCTCAATGAGAAGACTTTGCAAGGCCTGTTGTCTGCTTGAAAGTGAGAAATGGCCTGTTGTCTGCTTTAAAGTGGGGCGGGGTAGGGAGAGGGGTGACAGAGGCTCCCAGCCATGGCTTTTTGGAGAGCAAACTGTTCACTGTTATTTGATAACTCTGCAGTGCCCTCTGCTGACTGAATGTAAGCATGTACGTTTGCATAATACTGGTATGCAAATGAGGGCAACCAAATAAGTAGTTAAATGTGTATATTATTGCTTTTTAGTGTTTGAAAATATTACTTGCATTATATAGTTTGTGTATTAATTATGGTTGCTGATTCTCCAAAGTTCTATATATTTGCATTTTAAATGTTTGTCACCACATGCTCGAGGACTGGTCTCCAAGGGATGGTCCTTGTCCAAAATACAGAATGTTATGTTTCTTTTACAGCTGTTTGCATTTGCTCAGGGATCCCAGTAAAAAGATATTTGGACCTGATGGCCGACTGCTTGGTCCCTGTATCCCAGGACAAGTTGAAAAGAGTGCTAAGCCTGAGAGCCACATGTGCCTTAGTAAATGCAGTAGCTAATCACACTGCAGGCAGAGGTGTTGATACCTGTTTGTAGGAGAGCTGATAGTAATAGTAATTGTTGAAGAAGCACTCAGGGCTGGGTGCTTCATGTTTCAGGAGGGAAGAGGGAACAATACCTGCCTCGAAGAAACAGCTATTCTGGTTTGATGGAAGAGTTCCTGGGACACTACAGTCAAGCTTTGGAGACTGGGTCTGAAGTGCTCCTGAGTCCCGTGTGTCAATGAGGAAGTGGACTTGGCAGAAGTACATAGTCAGAGTATTGGAGCTCTGTCACCTCTGTGTAACAAGGCACATTTATAAAAGTTCCAATTTCTATTGTAATCTGCACATTTTTTAATAGAAAAGAAAAGAGGACACGCTCTTCAAATAAAGCATTTTAGCAAGCTACAGTGTATTAGGGGTCTGGAATGTCAATTTAAGCCTGGCCACTCTAAGTGATGGTAATATGCCTTTCTATCATTCCTACTGTGCTTTTGCTAGGTTGTTGGCTTTTATCTTGCTGAAGAACATCCACTTTCCTTAGTAAGAGTTATCATAAAAAAGCGTTTTGTTCTCAAAAGTATATTTCTCTCAAATGCAATTGCCTTGCTCAGGGTTGAAATATTAGACTCAACATTTTAATTTATGTCTGCCTGCTGTGCCAAAGGGATTCTAGTGTTGAATCTGGTTGGATGCAACTTGTTTCTTTTGAGAGAAAATCATAATGGAAAAGGCCTTCACAAGCCTCTCCTATTGTGTACATATATTAAGTGACCCATAGGTTGAGGAGGCGGTGACCGTGGCGGTGGAGGAGGAGGATGAGGAAGCCTCCTCCTCTTAATTGTGGTAGCCCACAAAATATTGGGACATACAAATAAAGAAACATTTGTGGCCTGCGGTGCATTTCTTGCAGTCCTGATGCATGGAGAAATGCTCAACTCCTGATGCATGGAGAAAAGGCCCTCACAAGCCTCTGCTAATGTGTACCTAGTTTATACTAAGTGACCCATAGGTTGAGGAGGTGGTGACCGTGGCGGTGAAGGAGGAGGATGAGGTACCCAACACTGTTTTTTTTATATATATTTATATTAATTGGGGTAGCACCCAAAATATTGGGATATATAAAAAAAGACAACTCTGTTCCGTGGAACTTTGCATGCGGATGTCATCCATATCAACTTTCGATGCCAGTTTCTGCGCCTACCATGGTGACCACGAGTAACGGGGAATCAGGGTTCCACTCCGTACAGGGACCCTGAGAAATGGCTACCACATGCAAGGAAGGCAGCAGGCGTGCAAACTTTGCAGTTCAGGTTCGCTCAACTCTATTATGGATCCTTTGATTGCTACATGTATTACTTGGATAACTGGTAATTCTCAAGCTAATACATGCCGACGAGTGCTAGGGGACGGCCGCTGCGCTTTTGCACCCTGCTCCCTCTTATGCTGTGCTGGTGCCTCTGTGTGACCAGCGCCTCTTCCTCCAAACTGCACACGTCACTCACATGACCTTGATTCCATGTGGGGTCTACGACCTCATCCTCCTCCACATCATCTTCCACCCACTCCTCAACCCTGCCCTCCTTGCCGGTATGCACACTGCAGAAAGCCACAGAAGTTGGCACCTGTGTTTTTCCAGCATGTAAAGTCTGCAAAGGACATATGGAAATTGTTTTAGAATTTCCTCCAGGCAACAGTTTTCCCTATAAACTGACCTCTCAATTTCACTTGTGAGGGTATTGCCCCAGAATTACAATATTGTTGAAGTACCTCTTAGCTACTGGTTTAAATATAGCAGCTTGTTAACTGGTAGTTTCTAGTGTAGAAAATATCAGTCTGTTTTCTATCACTTAGATCTGTGTAACAAGTGCTGTGTGAAACAATATTACATGTGACCGATGTAGTAAATTCAAATCAAAGTTCAATTTGCAAAACAAATTCTCGCTCATCTTCTGTGGGTTATTGCATTTTTAAGATGTAGACTTATTGTATCACACTAGCCATGCACAGGTAGATTGTCTGGCACGTTGTTTTGGTGTTTGGTTTTTAACTTTGTCTTTGTGTCTTTACACAATATAGAAATGTATATTAATGCTTCTGTATATGAAGCGATCAAAATAACACTTATTTTTCACTTAAAAAAAAAAAATCAGGCTACCAAAAATTGGTAATTCACAATATGACATCTGAAAAGCACATGAAAGGATGCTGTATGATTTAAAAAAAAGAACACACTACATGAAGGTCAAGTTCACTAGAGTGTGTAGTCATGAATGTAACCAGTAAAATTTTGTTGTTTACAGCCACTGGTTGGCCCATACATATTTTAAAACATCTTTAATTTTGTTGTAGCATGACTTTGTAGATATGAAGAGCAGGCCCCAAAAAGTACTATTTAGCAGATTAGCACCAAAACAATTAGAATGTTTACAATTGCGCTGTAACCGCAGTATTTGACTCTCAGATATGAAGAACAGGCCCCAAAATGTACTATTTAGCAGTTTAGCACCAAAACAATTAGAATATTTACAAGTGCGCAGTAAGCACACTATTAGACGCTTCGATTTGACTCTCAGATATGAAGAACAGGCCCCAAAATTTACTATTTAGCAGATTAGCACCAAAACAATTAGAATGTTTACAAGTGCGCAGAAAGCACACTATTAGATGCTTCATTTTGACTCTCAGATATGAAGAACAGGCCCCAAAATGTACTATTTAGCAGATTAGCACCTAGAAAATAAGAATGTTTACCACTGCACAGTAAGCACACTATTTGACGCTTCTATTTGACTCTCAGATATGAAGTGCACCGCAGGCCCCAAAATGTACTATTTAGCAGATTAGCAGCAAAACAATTAGAATGTTTACAAGTGCGCAGAAAGCGCACTATTAAACGCTTCGATTTGACTCTCAGATATGAAGTGCACCCCACTACAATACTATTTAGCAGTTTAGGATCCCCAAAAAAATTTAAGTTTTAAAACTGCAATGTGACAGAAGTATTTGACGCTTCTATTTAACTCTCAGATATGAAGTGCACGCCCCTAATGTACTTTTTAGCACCCAAATATTTTTAAGTTTTAAAACTGCAATATGACAGCAGTATTTGACGATTCTATTTGACTCTCAGATATGAAGTGCACCCCACCCCACTAATGTACTAGTTTGCTGAATTCTTTCCTAAGCTGTCACTATCAGCGGCAGCATCCTCTCCCTACACTAATAAGACTGCATGTGCGTGCGGCGCTATGCGACTCCAGCTTATATATAGAGGCTGGGTCACATGCTGCACTGGCCAATCACAGCCATGCCATTAGAAGGCATGGCTGTGATGGCTTCTAAGGGCACAAGAATCAAACGCTTGTTGATTGGCTGCCCTGCAGCCTTTCAAAACACGCCATTAAATCGCTGAACACACAGTGATATGTCCGTGTTCGGGTCCGGGGTCCAAAAAACCTAATGTTAGGTATGAACCAAAACTTTTCAGTTCGGGTTCGCTCAACTCTATTAGTGAGCATTTCTCCTTTGCCAAGATAATCCATCCACCTCACAGGTGTGGTATATCAAGATGCTGATTAGACTGCATGATTATTGCAAAGGTGTGCCTTAGGCTGGCCACAATAAAAGGCCGCTCTCAAGGCATCAGATCCATAGTCTACCTCAACGACATCCTGTTCATGGCTCAAGACCTTAGCACTCTTCAACTTTACGCAGAAATTACAACCTCTCTTTTGCAAAACCTTGGTTTTGTGATAAATTTCAAAAAATCCCCTCACAAACCGTACAGTCTCTGGGCTTCCAAATAGGCCCCATTCAGCTATCCTACAACACCCGTCCTCTAAAATCAAGTCTATCAAGAATGACATTCGAAAACTAATTGACTTCCCTCACATCTACCTTCACGGTGTAGCAAGAGTCATCAGCCTCCTGTCAGCCTCCATTCAGGCCATTTTCCTGGGTCCTGTACATTACAGGGCAATGCAACGCCTCAAGGCCTTCTTCCTGCGCAGATCGGCTTCATATAATCAACAGATGACTCTGACAGAGGACGTCCGCTTGGAACTAGATTGGTGGCTTCACAATATGGAGGCGTGGAACGGAAAGGAGATTTTCGTCTCACTGCCGGATTTAATCCTGGAATCAGATGCCAGTCTTTCAGGATGGGGCGCCACTTGCTCAGATCTCTCCACTGGAGGACTTTGGACACCATCAGAATGTGCCTTATACATAAATTGCCTCAAATTGATTGCCGGCTCCTTTGATGTCCGCAGCTTTGTGAAAGACGCATACAACTGCTCACTCACTCTGAGGATGGACAATATCTCCACCGTTTGTTGCGTCAACTGTTTAGGAGGTTCCCGCTCCAAACTCCTTTCGGATTTGACGAAGGAACTCTACCAATTCTGCCTGCCCAAAAACATCTCACTTCAAGAGGAGTACTTACCAAGTCCGGACAACCTGGTGGCGGACTGGTTCTCTCGTCACTGGAGAGAAGCGATTGGCAATTGGACCCGCATGTTTTTCATCTCCTTCACCTATTTTGTGGCCCTCTACATGTGGACCTCTTCGCGTCCTGCCTGATTCGTCAGCTGGCTCCCAGACCCATCAGCTGGCTCCCAGACCCGTCAGCTGGCTCCCAGACCCATTAGCTGGCTCCCAGACCCATCCTGTCAAGCAGTCGATGCATTCCTACAACCATGGCCGAGTTCAGGGGCCTGCACCTTTCCTCCTTTTTCATTGATACTTTAACTTCTTCAGAAAATCAGAGCTCTCAGAGTCACAATACTTTTGATTACCCCTCTATGGAGGGCGCAACCTTGGTATCCCAGTCTGTAGGAAATGTCTGCAGACTTTCCTCTCCTCCTTCCTCGGAATTATGACCTTCTCCAAGGCCCCTCAGGAGAATTTCATCCTCTCCTCCTTCAAGAGCACCTTCAACTCATGGCCTGGACCATTTCAGGGGATCCTGGAATGTCTCAGGACTTTCGAACACTGCTAGTACCATGGAATTCCTGGGCACCCGTAACCCGATGTTCCTACTGCTCCACTTGGCATCTATGGACTAGCTGGTGTGTGGAAAGGGATATTGATCCCTTTTCATCATCTATTGTCAACATCATGAATTTCCTATCTTCACTCTTTGACCAGGGCAAGTCCTACCGGACCATTAACCTTTTTTGTTCTGCTATCTCTGCAGCTCACGCTCCTGTCAAGAATTCCTCCATGGGACACCCCTCGGTTTGTAGAATTCTACGTGGTATTAGATTGGCCAGACCTCCGGCTCCTCGATATTCACAATTCTGGAATGTGTCTCAAGCTTTCCCCTTTTTGGAAGCTTGGCCTTCCAACTCAGACCTCACTTTACAACAGGCTCTCTGCTAAACTAGCCCTACTTCTCTACTACTTTGGGATTCCTTTCAATATGCTTTTAACAGGATAAAATAAGGGGGGTTACTGTTGGAAAAGGTTGTGTGCATATGATGTCAGATGCCTGTTAAATATAGTTTGATGGTGCTGTGTGCCAATATGAGTGAGAGATGGCAAAAAGTGGTGGAAGCAACCATAGTTTCAACAGAAAAAAATTATTATATGATGATCAGAAACAAACTTGTTGAGTAACGTGTATGCTCTGATGTAAGATGTCCTAGTATTTTCAGACAGTTGTGCTTGAGCCAGTGTTTTGCTGTGAGACCGTAACATTTAATCCATTATTAGATCCTGGAATTCCAGGGGTTTTGTGACAGGTGTTCACTGTGGGATGTACCTGAAAATGCTCATGAAAAAAAGTAAACGTGATAAAGCATCAGTGGCTGTATTATGAACTCCAAGCTCATATGTACATTCACTGTGAAACTGGTATGTAGCTGCTAGCCAGGTAAATTTCCTGACTAACTTGATTGTGAGAGACTATTGGAAATTTTACTTCCAAGTTTACTAAACATAGATACCAACCTACTCTGACAATAATTGGAATCAGGACACAATAGCATAAAACTATTCTTGGATCCTATTCACCTGGGACCAGAATTCTATCCAGGTACAATAATAAGACCTTGGTGAAGTAGTTGTGCTTGAGGACAAATTGGATTTAAGTGATTGCCTGAACATATAGTGGTACTGGTATGGGAACGTATGATATGAATATAAGTAATATGATGTGTTAATATACATAATGTAAGTATCATAATCTTAAAATGTAATGACATGGCTGATTAGGCACAAATTTGAAAGTCTCAAAAGTTCATACAACTGACAATGTAGCCTATTAGTTCTAAAACCTA